TGTATGATTAATTAAAACCTGATTTATGTATTATTAAAGTTGATTCTGTATTTTTGAAAATGATAACTTAAAAACCATTGTGGGTGTAATTTCCTCAAACTTTAATGCATGACATCATGTCACTCAAAACTTCAATTGGGCCACTTACAAACCATAACTTTAATTAATTAGTCCAGAACACATTCCCAGACTTAATTGGGCCAGGCCACAAAATCCCAAGCTTTAATGCCCTTTTAACCACGCAGTTACAGGATAAACTTTCTAATTTAAGAAATTTATAGAATTTTTTCAAAAATTTGGTGATATGATAGGTTAAGGTCAGGTAATTAGCACATAACGTCCTTGTTTTTCACTATTATTGTGAAAAATGTCCATATCTTTCAATTTTTAGCATCTTCGCCCTTCGTTCCACCTTTTATTGAGCAAGATGTCATTTTTAATCCATTTTTCCAATTAAAAATGTGAAATGACCAATATACCATTCTATTTAAATAAGATAAAAAAAAGAAGAAAACAACTAAATTGCAAACATAGTCCCATTTTTAAAAAAAATGCAAATGAGTCCCAAAATAAATTATTAAAAGAGTAATTAACACATGTTGTCCTTACCTTTCACTATTATTGTGAAAAATAATTACTAGTTTAATAATTTATTTGGAACGCATTTGCACTTTTAAAAAGAAAATTATGATTATAGTTGTAATTAGTTTTTTTTTTGTTTTTGTTTAATTTCAATAGAAGAAGATATTCATCATTTCACAACTTTTAATTGAAAAAATGAATGAAAATGACATTTTGTACGATGAAATGTGGAAATAAGAGTGAAAATATCAAAAAACTAAAACGTAAAGACGTTTTTCACAATAATAGTGAAAGGTAAGGACTTCATGTGCTAATTACCCGATTAGGGTCTTATATAATCTATAATTACAATTACGTACAAGTCACAAATTATAGAACGTCACGATCATAAAGACACAAAATGTGAATCAAAATTGTAAATTTAGTCACAAATTACACATTTTTATAAGTCGCAATTTATTTATCGATCACAAATTATCAAATTAATTAATCATAACTTATTTATCGATCATAATTTATCAAATTAATTGGTCAGAACTTATTTATCGATCACAAATTAACTAATCACAATTATTCAATTAACCAGTCACAAATTACCTTTTATCTCACCCACTGCTAACACCAACCAAAAAACGGTCACCGCCTCAGATCCACATTCCACCACCTCCAACGCACAACCACGACTACCACCTCGTAAAATCCACTTGCACGTGTACATCTACCTCCAACCAATCACACAAACGTACAAACCATAGATTCAGAGTCACTGCCATCTGCACCAACAACCCAACATGAGATGCACATGAATTGCATATCACACCATCGAGACACTTAAATCGTAACACACAGATCACACCACCCCGAATTTAAATTCTTATTTTAGCATAGATTGTTGCTCGACTGCATTCAAAGTTGTTGTAGATAATTCCCCACCACCACCACATAGATCTTAACATTGCACCGCCGGTTGAGGCAATGCTTGATTTTTCATGACAGTGACTGACGTTGGTGGGTGCGATTGAAGCTGATCGAGAGAATAGAGATTGAGAGATTGAGAAGGATTTTGAACAGAGTTGGTAGAGAGTCACAAATTTTGTGGATGTGGGGCAAGTAGGGATGAGAGTGCTTGATTTTTTAAAGATAACTCTGTGTAACTAATCATTGAAATGAGAACTTAGAAAATAGGTTTGCGTGTAATTTCCTCTTATCCTATATTGGTAAATATTATCACTCTCTCCAAATCCAAAATGAAACTTGAGCACTTTTTACCCATACAAAGACAAACATAATTAGAGCTTGTTTGGAGAAATTTTTTGAAAGAAAAAAATGATTTTTTTAAAGAAAAAGTATGTCGTTAAAACTAGAAAATGAGAAGGAAAAAAATTATGAATCTTATGGTTAAAATTAATTTTGAAGAAATTTATTTTCAAAAAAATAATTCCCAAACAAGCTCTTAATATGCATGCCCATGGAGCCCACCTAGTCAGCTCAACTAATACTTTCTCCAGCCCAATTTTCGCCAAAATCCCGCGTCAAACGTCTATTATTTTATTGGAAAAATCTTCACTCGCCGAAAACGAAACCCCCAAGAAACTTCCTAAAGTTCCAATTTTCTTCACGGATATATATACACAAATTATATCTATTTTCTTGATCATTATCGATAACCCTTTTTAATTTGCCGAAAGTCTTGCAGTTCTGTATTCTGGGTTTTGTGCGTTTTGTGTTGAAATGAGTAATAATATTGACGCTGATATGCAGATTGAATCTACGCGGGAAAAAGATTATGCTTTGCGTGGTAAAATCATGCTGAGTACAATAATTATACTGTTTGGGGTGGTGATTTTCTTGGCGATTCTTCATCTTTATGCCAGATGGTACCTGCTTCGTTTGCGCCGCCTTGAACTCCAGCGTCGCCGCCGTCACGGCCGCCGCCGCAGCCGCACTCATATTGTTTTCTACGTTGACAACAACCAGCCCAACTCCGCCACAGATCACGGACTGGAGGCGGAGGTTTTGAATTCTCTGCCGTTGTTTGCTTACTCCTCCAAGACTCATCCGGAGGTGGTAGAATGCGCCGTGTGCTTATCGGAGTTTGAAGAGAACGAGACCGGCCGGTTTTTACCCAAATGCAGTCACTCTTTTCACGTAGAGTGTATTGATATGTGGTTTCGGTCACATTCTACTTGTCCCCTCTGCCGGTCCCCTGTTGAACCGGTCGCCGAACCGGAGAAGAACTTGGCCGAAACAGTCATCAGCGTGGACGAACCGGGTTCGAGCTCCGGAGATAATACGGCGTCGCTGGGTGATCGGACGAAGAGTTTGGACGCGGCGGGAGTAAGAATAGACATACCCAGAAGGGCAGAATTTGGTGGCGAGTTATCACTGAGTTCACCCGGATTCAGATCGCCGGGAACTCGGTTGTTGTCCTTTAAGAGGCTCCTCAGCATGAACAAGAAATCTCCTATGGGGACGCCGTGTGGAGCCGGGACGAGTTTTGTGCCGGTGGGAGCCACCGAGTTGGACCTGGAGAGTGGGAGGAATGAGTTGACTCAGGAGTCAACTGGAGCACATACGGCAAGGTAAACGAGTCGGCGCAACTTAGAAAAAGAGTGACAATGGAGAAACGTTGTTGAATTTCGAGGAAAACGACATTCAGTTTTCGGGTTTCTAGGAAGGTGTCATGCAGTGTCGTTTTGTGGACGTGGCATGCAGGAATTAATTTCTTAATTCTGATTAATATTAAAATTAGACACTCGAAGCATGCGGGCGTTGTATATTATTCCCATCGCAACGCTGTCGTTTGTTTACTTTTATTTTTATTCTTTTATTACAACTCCCCCACAATTATATTTCATTTTACATATAGATAAAGAAAACAACCTCGTTCTATCCAACTAAAGTTGAGGACAAACAAATGTTACATGCACCAATTATCATTTGTTTACTACTTTTGGTCCCAATTTCCTAGAGTCGACTCGACCCATTAGACACTATCTTAGTAATACAAGGGAATCATGACGTATACCTTGCCAACGAGGCCGTGTTAGCCTGCAGCATGTATGTCTAAAGGGGCTTCTAATGGCGATTTCCGTCTCTTCTTGCCTTGAGGAGTAGCCCGGGCGCTGCTTGCCTTTCTTGGACTTGGAGAGGTAGAACGTGAAGGTGATGAATTATTAACAACTGGGCGATTCTCCTTTACTGGCTTGTTCCTTTTACTACTGGCATTTCCTTTCGTTAAAGAAGACTTGGCTCTCTTTTTAGATGACCGAAGCTGCACTCCTTTCCTTCTCTCGTGCCTTAGGAGCCGAACATAGAAAGGATTAGCAGCTGTGTGGCAAGTGAAATTATCATTCTTGTCGTCCCGCGCCAGATCCACATCTCCATTATTCACCTGCACTAGCACATGAAAAGTAAATAGACAAAACTACTCTTAATAGTCCAGCACAGCTCAAGTGATAAGAGCAAAGTCTTGGGATTTGAGGCTCATTTGGGGGTAGGGGGTGAAATTTGGAGGAAAAAAGTCATACAGAGTTTCATATAGGTTCGAAAGTCAATACTAGAGTTATAACTAGGAACCATTTTCCCAAAACATGCCTCAATCCACAAGAGGTAGCTACTGCACACATTTGGTAATTTGTTTCGAGTTTTCTCCTCTCCTGCAAAATGTATCCAAGGCTAAATTAACTAAAAAAAAATTAATGCGGGAATTACCAATTGAAGTAGAGCAGAAAATGTTCGAGCAACATCATGCTTATCTTGTCCCATGACAACATCTCCGAAAGACATGATCTTTCCCTCATCTCCTTCCATAGATAGCTTATCCAGAACTCTGTCACCATATTCATGAATATCAAATGGTGGTCGAGTGTCCTGCAAGGAAATGTTATCATTATCTAACTGAAATTCTAAGAGAGAAGAAAACTTATTCAATGAAAGGAAATAGTGAATATACAGACTTGTTCTTCCAAGTTCTGCTCAATTCTTTGTTTCCATGTTGAAACCCGAGTAGCCAATTCAGTCTGCTTCTCAGTCTCGGCTAGACTAGCAAGAAGAGAATCCTACAACATGAAATAGGTTATGCATTGCACCAATTCAATGTTGCTGTTATTCTTTACTATAATTAACTAGACATTGTCACATTTTCATCATTGAACATTGTCTTTATCGACAATATATATTAGGTATGGTCTATGAAGGTAAGCTGAAACATCTAATATTACCAAGTGAGACCGGCAAAGATCTTCAAGGCTTGCATTGGCACCGGGATCGTCATAAGCTTCATTGAAGTCAAAGTGATTGCCAGCACCATCGTGCTGCATAAAGTGAAAATGTGAGTAGCTAGACAAGGTATCGTGCTAATTCATTTCTATGTGCGTGGTTACCAGCCTCACATTTTCTGGGTGAGAAGGTGCATCTTCTTGACTGTATTTACTCTCTGGCATGTCAAAATCCGGTGGTCCGCCATCTGGATCTCCACTATCATATCCATTATCTTCAAGGTTATCCTTGAAATCATGAAAGGCGTCATTCATTTTAGCCCCTCCAAGAACGAGTGATTCCCGTAGCTGCAATTAGCAGATAGATATTATGTCTGAAACAAACTTATACAGCTATGCAGCTAAAGAACCACCAAAAGACCAACCTTTTCGTAAAATGGAGGAGATTGTGATTTTCCTTGTCTTTCTGAGGTACCATGTTTTGCTTCCCATATTTCTGTGAGTTCTGAACTAATGGGACCGTGCAGTTTTGCAAGAGGAAATTCTTCAGCTATGGAAACGCGTTTCTTGGAACCAAACCCTTGCCTTTTATTAGCTTTCACTGCTTGTGAGCAAGGAGAAAATAAGAAAGCATTAGATGGTAAACAAACGATACTCTTCGTAAACAAATACGGAAAAGGAAATATACACTAGAGAAACCTTTTTTATAAGGTTTAACTTTCAAATTCCCTGGTTCATGAGGATTCAAAGGTTTCCATGGATCATCTTCATCAGATTCATCCCAGTTTCCGGTTTCTGGATAACCATCTCCCATTCCAGATTCATAATTGTTATCGTCAGGCAAATCATGGCCAGGAGAGGAGGGACCCACATTGTAGTCATTAGACTCATTGACAAGATTAACAAAAGGTGACCGAGTAAAATTATTATCCAGATTCTTTCCAGCTGACAACTTACTGCCAGCTCCCCCAGATTGTCTTATTGGTGACTGAAAGCTCTTACGGCCCTTAGAGGTCAGAGAGCTGCCTCTGTAGAAATTAGTCTGCCCTTTGTTAACTTTACAATCACCATTTAGAAAATCATTAACTGCAACAGCATCGCAAGAGTCTAGCAAAATAAAATCCCGGTAGAGATCATTGGTGGCTAACTGCAAGCATAACAAGTATAACAATTTAAGATAGAAATACGCATACAATTGTCAAAAATTCTCGATAGTCAAAATGTTATACCAGATAGGACTCTAGTTCCCCATCATCACCACCAGCATCAAAGCAATCCCCTTCAAGGACAACTAGATTTGCAGGGGCCCTCACAAAGTGACTTGGGGGAGAATCTCCACAGGTTGCACCATCCAGTGAAATATTTGCTTCCACTGCAATATAATGTAATCTAAACCACGACTCTTGCTGACGGTACCATAATCACAAACGTAGAAGCAACCTACCTGGGATGTCATCTGAAACCCAAAATGAATCATCCTCTTCATCCTTTGCAGTATGTGATCCAGTTTCTTCTGGTCGGGCAGAAGTACTATCCGCCTGATCTTGTTGACTGGTCAAATAACATAACATAAACAAAATAATCATTAGGCGTTGTAATGGCATTCATTTTTTAATAATTCTACTGGAAACCAAATGATGATTTAGCTATATATATATATATATATATATATATACATTGATCAATATGTACAATATGACTCCACTGCAAAAGTAAAAATGAGCCATATTTTCAAGAGTGTACAATAATAATTCGAACATTCACTATGTTGCTGCACGAACTGAAAAAGGAGTTAAACCCAAGCTGATCATCTATCAATTGTATTTGAAAGATACATCCTATATCCACCCACTTTTGTTCTGAAAAAATGCCTTGAGGTTATACTACTTATGATTAATTTAAGTTGAGGAAAGGAAAAGAAAAATACATTTTAGAAGGAGCTAAATAGCTGCATGGGTAACCAATGTAGAAATACGACAGAAGTGCATAAAACAATTACAATGATGGGAATATGACTCCAATTGCTCAATGTTCATCGATTAGCACAAAAATAAGGCAACTATTACAAAAGTTTACATATATCTGCTAAGCTCTACAGAAAAACTTCCAGCATTTCCAAGCATATCAGGCACGAGAACAAAGGCAATTTTTAACCAAAAGAGAGGTCTATGTACTAAGGCCTGTTGGGAGGGATTCTATCCTTCATGATAGGGCTAGGTATCTTTCCATTACAACATTAACATCTGAGAAGTTTCAGTTGTGGCGAACATCCTTTGTCAAATGACATTAATTTCAGCAAGCAGCCAATCAAATTGTTGACAATAAAGAAAAGAAAATGTTATTTACAGTTTCGTAGGAAATGTTCTGAGGTATACCTTTCCAATTTCATATTTTCGATGGAAGTATAAAAGTTAGGCAGGGGTATCAAATACAATTCTTCATGTCGCATCCATTTTATGTACCTTTCTGTTTCATATTCTTTTTACAGTTCTCTCCAAATCCAAATTATAAAGGACATGGGAAAACCAAATGGCTGGGTTTTTTTACCTTTACCCCATTTATTCCCCACAAGGACCAAAGTAACTGAAGATGTATATTAAAAGGCTCAGATTGACAAAATAAGTTTTCCAAATAGCCTCTTGGGTCAACACTTCAATATTTGCAGCGTGCCAGTAATTCAATTTTTTCTGCTGTAGTCTTGATTCTAATTCCACCGAAAGCTTCAAAGGATCTCTCTAATTCAATGAAATAATTTGATTTTTTTATTTAATATTTACAATCATCACTAATAACAAATGAGCCTGTTTAGCTGCTTAAGTTTTGATTATAGATCTATTAAACCTCTGTCTTCATAGACAGTAACAAAGTCCAAATATATAACTATCAGCTACCAAAGTATGTGTTAGGTTCAATATTGTAATTGGCAATTCTATGAACGAACACTTATAAAAAGTCAAGGACTTAGATGCAATTTTGTATGAAAAAGTTAAGTTAGGTTTAGAGATTGAAAACAAGGAAAACGCGGTGCTGGAATTTCACTAGATTGTTGCCAAGACTTGGCTCGAGCATCAGAAACAGTAACATTGTCGCCCGCCTTTCGCCTCACAGTCGCTCGAGCGAAAGACTCCCTTGCTCGAGCGACATATTTATGCGGCCAGATCTAATTCGCAATTTTGAAGAGTTTTACACGGCCCATAACACCTAAGCGTCCCCAACTATAAATACAGATGTCTGGGACGAAAATTGTAGGTTGCTTTATTGTGATTCAATTGAAAAAGGCTTTCACATCATTAGAAAGATCCAAGAACACAATTCATTGATTAATTCATCCACATCATTCTTGAGATCCGGCAACCAAGTTTTGGGAAAACTTCAAATTGAAGAATCCAAAACACCCGACTTCCTTAACATTTCGAGGAAGGTACTTTCTCAGTTGGATTTCAGAAGTTTCTGGAGGTTGAGAGATGTTGGACTACAAGCTCAGGAAGAAGAACATGAATAAGTGATTCCTGGGTATCCATTTAGAAGAGACAATTGTAGAAGATTGTGAGTTTAGAATTTACAGCAGATCTTGGAAGCTACATGAGGTGGATCGAGAGATCTAGCAGGTTGGCTAGACAGTATCTAGGGTAGCAGATCGTGAGTAGGGCTGTCCGTAAGTCGGTTTGGTTCGGTTCTGAAGAGACCTGAACCGACCCAAAACTTTCGGGTATTTAATAAATGGAACCGTCAGGTCCAAATATAATTATGGAACCATTCGGGTTCGGTTCGGGTCCGTACCATAATTAATTTTTTTAATATTTGCAGCAACACTACATAAATACAACTAATGACATTTCATTCGTAACTTTTACAAATTAACGTAGCTCAATTCAAAAACATATAAATAACTAATCGTTCAATAAGATTAATTCAATGCATACAAATACCAAAAAGTAGATATTAATATTACAGCAATAATACATAAAGTATATTCATTTACTTCAAATTAAAATGGGCTAATAGGCTTTAAAAATGATTTGGGCTTTTTAAAATTAAAATTATGAAATAATCTGATTTATTTAATTAATTTGCTAATTTGTTTATAAAAAAATAAAATAATTTAATTAATTCAATATAAAAATAAAAAAATTATTTAGTTTCGGTTCTTAGTCTAGACCCGAGACCCGACCCAAACCCATCAATTCTCGATTCGGGTACCCGTTCAGGTATTTAATTTATGAAGAACCGCTCGGTTCGGTTCGGGTTCGGTTTGGTCCGGTTTGAGACTTTTGGACACCCCTAATCGTGAGTCTAGAGGAACAGCAGATCTTGGATATTACAAGAATTACAACAGCGAGAACTAGTGAAAGTTGCTAGGCTGGAAACGAACTGTAACTCACATTGTCTACAGTGGAGGTAAGCTTGGTCTCGGAGTTTTTACCCAGTTGGGTTTCTCCGTCATCATATCGGTGTTCATTATTTAGTGTTTTCCATATTACAAAATGTGGTATTCAAATATAGGATAATTGAATTGTATGCTTAATCATCTAGAAACTATTAAAACGTGATTTGTTGCTTTTAATAGATTAATTCCACACGTAAAGTCAAACTTAGTTAGTAAACTACGTATTTTCAGTATGCAACATAAAGAAGTTCAAATGATTGTCAAACTCTTTATTTTACAGGGATCGTTCAAAAATATTCTTTGTTTTCATCAAAAATATATCAATGATACGACTCTACAAAGTAATTCCAGGAGAAGGAGAACAAGATATCCATGAAAATAAACTATAGGATGAGAAAAATGGGGTTCTCTCTGGAGAGGAAAAAAACTTAATGAAAGGAGACCTGCTGGTCTACTGTAGAAGCAACATGGTAATAATAGAATCAACTACATGTTTTCCCAGCTTAAAGGAAAACTTGAAGAAATTGGGCGTCGCTCTAAAGACCTCCTGTCCCTCCTACCTTTCCCTGTCATTTTCCACCTAAGGTCTAAAGGAACCCCAGAAATTCCTAAATTACCCAATGTATAAGATATCCAAATTGCCAATTTGAAGTTATTCCTAGATCACCAGAGAAAAACTTTAATTGAGTTATAACCTACTGCACAATAAAGAATTTGAACTTGAGTAAATCTACTCAGCGGGTGAATTCAGATTGCAATTTGGACCAAAAGAAGAAACTTAAAGTCTTGAAGTCAGTGAGAATCAATATTGAGTTATCTCATAAGTCACTCACCAAGAAGAAACTTAAAGTCTTGAAAGTCAATGAGAATCAATATTGAGTTATTGATAGAATTTCAACTAGAGATCACTATTTATACTGTAACATCAATGAAATGAATATTCACCCAAAACACAAATATCAGCCCTCGGATAAAGTTTATAACTTTGCTACGTAACTCAACTTCTATGCTCCTTCCGTAAACCCTTTAATGGGGAGACGGACGAAACAAACGAGTTCTTGAACAAAAAATGTTCCCTCTATCCTTGCTTTCAAAGATTTCCAATATTACAATATGTGATCCGGACAAGACAAGTTTCATAGCTTAAAGTGCTATCCAGTATCTTTTTCTAGTTCACGACAAGGATAAGCATCATCCACCAGTCATTTAAGATACAAACATGTTTATACCAGGCCCAATCATAGCATCTACTAAACTCACTTACACTTATTTAAGTTCAGATTCTACACAAATCATATTCCTACCACCATTACCTCAAACCCCATTTACGAGGTAAATCTTGCTTCTTCGTCTCACTTCCCACCCCAACTTATTTTTGTTTAAAAGCAAGCTTTGATTATTCAAACTTAACCTTGAAGTTTCTTCCGTTGTTATACAACCAACACAAAAAAAGGTAAGATTCAACATCCTATAGAAGGGCTAAGTATCATATTAAATGCAAATAAGCGAGCTATAAGTTCAGAACCCAAGAATGAAACTAAACAAAATAGAGTAAATAAGCCAAAAATCACACCTTTTCTGGGAAATGAACTCCAAAGTATGCAAAACCAAAGAATACAAATATTCCACCTTCCTACTGTATACCTGTATGGATCCCTGAAGAAGCAATGCAGCTACATATTGCCCCAAAACCAAAAAATAAAAAATTAATTAATTAATAAATAAACATAATCAAACCCACATTAAATTCACAATAAAAATTGAACATTTAATAATTTACCTTCAGCGAAATTTACGGACAGGTGGGTGTCGTCGTGGCTGGAGATTTCACCGGAACAAATCTTGATTAAATATTCCTCTAAATTCTTGGCTAAATCGACGGCCCAATTGGACTCGAGGTCCCGCAGAGGTTGCACTGTGTGGATGAATTTGCCGGAGGAAGATTCGGGTTGCTCCAAATCGTTACTCATCTTTTAAAAATCGAATTTTACAGTCCATTACTAGTAATACAACTGTTTTGAAATTAAAGAAACAGGATTTGAGTCATGAAACTGATGAAGGTATAGAGATAAATGTCTGTATCGATAGATACAGATACGGATAGAGAGTGTGTAGGTGTTTGATAGAGAATGGGGGAAAGATTTGAAAATTTTGGCCACCATTTCCTCCCGTTTTTCCCGCTTAGGAAAAAAAAATAGTTATGGGCCTTTTAAAGTAGAAGCCCAAGGTTATTGGACTTGGGTTGAAAGTCATGAAAGTATGGGCCAATGAGTCTTACGTGGAAGTGTAAACAGATTCAGCGCGACCCGGTTTTGAGACGACTCGTCCAGTCGAGTTGATCCTTTATCCAGGCTGAGTTCGGTTCTTGAGCAAAACACACAAATATTTAAAAATAAAAAATTACTGCAGTATTAAATTAGTTTAAAACTCACTTCATTTTACTTATCAGTGTATTCAATTATTTAATTAGAAGTAAATTTCATCTTTGTCTATAACATGTTCGTATAGCAAAGTAATATAGAAACAAATAATCTACTTATTTTTTAACTTTAATTAATAAAAAATTATTTGTTTCAAAATAATCTTAGTAGTTCTTGATTGTAAAGATTTGAACTTCATCCACGTTCTTAGCATGTTTGATAGTATTAACGAATAAGAAATAAGTTGTAAATAAGATTTGATTTATTGCAGTGTCTATTACAATGTACCAAATATGTTCTTAAAGTTTAGCTCTCCGTAGCTCTAATTTTGCAATTGTCCCCAAGTGGACTTCATCAGGACCATCGGCAATCCTCAATGTTCTAGCAGTAGCCCAAAGATGAGCGAGAACAGTGTCGCCCGATAAGCCGGCTGCACCGTGCACTTGCATTGCCATGTCGAGCACCTTCAAAGCCATATTTGGAGCTGCAAACTGCCCACCCCACCGGAACGAAAGAGAGAGTTAAAAGAAAAATGCAGTATCAATCTCAAAACATGTTAAACCACAGCGTATAAACGCTAAAGAAATCAGAAACAGATGCATTTATTTATTTATTTAAATATATCCCCTATTTGGTTTTCAGATAAAAGTTAATGCAAGTGGTTGAAAAGTTAATGAAATGTGTGAATCCCACAAAATATGTTGTTAAAAATGAATTTAAAAATCGAGTTTTAGAAAATGGAGGTGAAACAAGGACATAATCTTCAATGCACTCCTTCACGTGCGGGCCATGTTCATTTTTTATCAAGGGCCGACAGGTGCAAAATTTTAGTAAGCGAGTAGAAGTGACACTTGAATCCTAGTGTTTTGCTTGCACATGCACGATTTTCATAAATGGTTGATACTAAGATATGAATCCACGTTTTTTGCCTACTGTGACGCCATGTTGAACCACCCATTTAAAAGCTTAGGATGTTAGAGAGAGTATAAATTTATTAATTTAAATTTAGTCTACAAAAAAAACCAAATGCAAAAAATACCTTGGCCATTGCAATTGTCCCACGGGCCTTTTTGTTTCCAAGTTGATCGAGCTGGTCAGCAGCTTCCAATACTAACAATCGGGTTTTCTCCAGCTCTATCCGACACTACAGCATGGAAAAACCAATAAACTTGTCACCAGCTACATCACATATGTTGCGAGTTTATAAGCGAAGGGCAAATATTTCAATAAGTGTACAAACCGACCTTAGCAACATCCGAAAGGAATGATCCATGCTCGGCAATAAACTTATCAAAAGCTTTTCTGCTTAGCGCCCTTTGAACCATCATCTGCATGCCACGTTCGGCAGCACCTATCAGTCTCATGCAATGGTGCAACCTTCCAGGGCCCAGCCTACCCTGCGAAAGAGTAGGAAAAAAAGTGAATCTGCTTTTGAGGAAAACTGTTACTTACAATTAAGGCCGACCCCATATTTATTGTGAACAAGGCTTACTAGTGTTATAGTTGTAATTTTATCATATACAACCAGAAATCTTCAGGAAAGAACATAAAAAAATTTCTAGTGTTCTTTGTAACTTTCTGTATTGTGTATAATGGCTATTATCTCCTGGCTAATGACGCCAAGGAGAGGGTAAGAAGATGGTAAATGCAGAATCAACCTTACCACACTAGTGTACCTCATGAGAAAAAAGATGGGGCTCGTCAAGTTTGAATCAGAAATTAAAGAATTAAGTGTGAGCATTTAAAGCCATTCAAACTGATGAAAGAACAGTTAGGATTAACACGTCTTTTAGATGTAAGTGACTTGACAGATTCTTTTACAACGGTAGTTGATATTGAAGATCAATTCATCAAAACAACATTAATAAAATTGTGAATTGTTTAAGTGCATGTTTGGTACATATTAAATACTAAGGGCCTGTTTGATATCCATTCTTTTAGATAGTTTTCGAGAAAGTGATATTTTTGGAGAGTGTGCGCTTAGAAATTAGGGAAAAGTTATTGAGTTCACGTGCAAAATTATTTTATTGGGAGAATGTGTGGTTAAAAATTAATTTGAGGTAAATTAAGTTTCAGAGAAAATGTACCAAGCATGGGCTAAATAAGAAAAAGAAGCTAAAAATCTTGTGCATTGCTCTGTCTAGTACATTCCCGTACTACTTACCAAGCATGAAGAGTTTCAAATAATATTACCTGTGCAATCTCGAATCCACGCCCCTCTCCGAGCAAAATATTCTTGGCAGGGACACGTACATTCTCAAATGATATTTCAGCATGTCCATGAGGTGCATCATCAAAACCAAACACCGTCAGAGGTCGCTTTATGTTCACACCAGGAGTATTAATATCTACCAAGATCATGGATTGCTGCTTGTGCTTGGGGGCATTGAAGTCTGTTTTCCCCTGTATTTTTTTCAAATTAACTGCTTATAATTCAAATATTAAACTCAGAAATAAAATTCTTTCCGATGCAACAAACAGTAACTAACCATGACAATGAGGATCTTGCACCTGGGATCCATGGCTCCACTGGTCCACCACTTCCTTCCATTGATGATATATGAATCTCCCTGCCTGTTCAAGGCATCCACATAGTAAATGATATGTTCCAGAATCTAACTAAATTTCCTTATGTGGAGTAATAAAGCTTTAACTGTTTAAAGCATTTGAGAATCGCTGTGAATGAGAAAAACAAGTAAAGGCAGCTTCGCAACTGCCAAGCAAAAAACCATAATCTGGTAATGAAAGAATGATCATGTTAGAGTGCAAGTAGAAATTCATAAGCCTAGAACTTAAATACATCATATAAATCTGTGACTACGTTCTTAAGAGCCTAAAACTTCCCTGTTTCAAAAGAACAGGACAGAATGTTCAGTTTCAAGAAACAATTCTTGGATCAACAAGCGCTTGTGTAAATTTTAATATCCAACAAGGTCCCATTATCTATCATTTCTACTTCAGAAGTGATGTTCTATAGGGCCATCTAGTGTTTCTGTGCACGTCCCCCTCCTAAGATTTTATTTTCTGTTATTATCTCATATTAATAAATACACCAATACACCATCCTAGAGGTGGTTTTATCAGAAATTTAGAATAAGTTGCAACCATTCTACCTTTTGATAGAACACTCTATATTGGTAGCATCAGAAGATGCAACTTGAGGTTCTGTCATTGCAAATCCAGAACGGATGTTTCCTTCAAGTAAGGGAACTAGCCATTGATGTAGTTGTCCTTCATTTCCGTAGCGCATCAATACCTAGAGAAACGAATGGGCATAAGAAAGATAATTAAGGCTGTATTTCATAACATGAAATTATGTACGAGAGCAGAAATAAGCAAAAACTTTTGAAGCATAAAGACCCAAAGGGGAATAATAAGTTACTAATGTTGAACACCAGGTCAAATTCAAACTGTGCAATCCACTCTAGAGAACGGAATCAAATCCCGTGCAAATCAAGGTTTTTGCAATAGAGGATTGCATTTAAGCTGAAGTTTGAGAATGAAGTTCTCATTCTGTACATGCCAGATCATGAATTAGTAACTGGCTAGACCAATTATTCTAATACTTCAAATGCATTGAAAAATTTATAACAAAAGTTACTTTAGTGCTGTTTTGTGGAAGCTAGTGGTTATATTATCTAAAATTTGCTAGAGTTTACCATTTCGAAGCGATTTTTGCAATTTTTTGTTCACGTCACGTGAAACGAGAAGGTTTTCTAATAATAGGTGCTCTGCGTTGATAAAGCATGCACCTCAACTTGTCCGTAAGCCTCAAAAAGACTTCGACATCTCAATGAGATTTGCGCATTTTATATCTCCTTGGCAGGACACATATCACTGTCGTGCAGTCCAATACCAGGCCCGTCTAATTAGGGGGAAAAAAAAACAAAAACCATACTAGAACATTATCTTCTCCTTCCAAATATATTGTTTCCAGTGTAATCTCATTTAACTTATTCCTTTTGATGCAAGGTGAAGCAAATGGTGGCACTTTAGTCAGCTACGTATTCGTTGCTTAATTGCAATGTATAGAACTTTTTCCTTACCTCCATATTTCCAGTATCCGGTGCTCCACAGTTGAACACCTGTGGGGCCCATACAGAACGGCCCATGATCTCACAAAGGTATCCATACTCCAGGTTTGAGAGACCAGCTCCCAGTAAACCATCAAATGCCTTGTTAATGGTCTCACCAGAAATGAGTTTCTTAACCCTAGCAGCACTATCAAACTGCATACAAACTTGGAAATTTCAGTCAAAAATATTTGGCAGGTACAAATAGATTATTTCCTAAGGTACAACTGCCTCGGTATGTAGAAAGAGCTCCCAACTTTCCAAGTAAATGCAAGGAAGAAAATGCTTAGTAAATGTTACATACGGGTATCCACAAGTTCCACAGGCCTTCTCTTTTTGCTAGTTCCTTTAACTTCTCTTCTTTAGGATGAACTGTCCAACGACTGGTAGATTGGGCAAGTTCGTAAAACTCATTTTCCACTGGGTATATGTGATCCTCCATAAACTTAATCAATTTGTTTATTAAATCTTGAACCT